AAAACAGAACAATATCTACGTTCCTTTTCGTCGTTATTCCAACAAGGAGTTATGATCGAAAATGTACCCCGCCCCAAATCACCCAAGAACTTAGTTGTTCATACAGAGTAAGCAGAAGCAGAAGAATTAAAAGTGCAAGAGTGTGAGTCACTTAAATGTAAGGTACTGAAAGAGAGAGGAATACAGTGGTGAAAAGCACGCGACGATTTGCAGATGGTGTTGATCAGAAGAAGAACCATTCCACATTAACAGCAACAAAAACCTGAAGCAGAAGTTGAGGATGGTTGCAGATAACCTAAAAACTAGAGTGACAAACACAGAACATTGTGAGTGACTCTAAACCGGGCATCATGATACTGCAGTCGAACTGTTAAGTAGCAACTGATTTGAGTCCCAAGAAATAAAAGGGAGGTTGGCGGATGGTGGAGGCCAGTGAAATGAAGAGACCTAGTACGGACGTAAATAGCCAAGTGTTGTTACAACTCATAAGAAGAGGATTTTGCGAGTGAAAAATGTGGGCGAATTGTTTACTCTAATGCGAGGTGACTTGCAGGCCGAGTCAAACATTTCGATGAGTAACTCAGGGAGACTGTATCGGCTGAATTTTTAACAGGGCCACCTAGACCGACGTAAGGTGAATACGTCACCATCCATTGCAGTGGCGAGGTTCCGGTAACCCAAGCACTGCTTGATACAGCTTGGTTCAAAGATAAATGGCCTAATGATCGGCGGTTGCTAACACTTGGTTTCATTCTAAAGAAAGCCCTAGATTTTTCCGAAATCGCCGTGCCATTAGTTTTGTCAAAGGCGCCACCAAACTATTTAGGTAGAATCTGCAGCAGTGGTACTTTGGCCTTCAGTAGAGTCGAATCAGTGAACATCAGGTTAGCATCCGTCCATGTGAAGAATGAAGTGGCCAAATTTTCATGCCGCCCGAGCGTCCTACGAACAAACAGTCTAGAATGTTAATCTCTGGTCAGAATGTTGTCACAGATTCAACATATTCAACGTGCTTGTGATGATACGTCTCACAAGGTAGTACAAAAAATCTTTTGATTCAAAAGCAGTTAGACTAGACTCCAGGGACTGTGTACGAGTGAGTAGATGCTCCCGAGTTTTTGAGTGGTTTTATTTGTTATTATTGGGAAGGTATACCTGTACCCCGACACACAAGCATCAGAGCTGAAAACTTCTGCCGATGATCTATCCACGGCGTTACTACCTAAACGTGACCGCAGTCTGTGTCATCGGCTAGGAATTCAATAAAATTGATATCTCATTCATCCAGGCACCTGATTTGACTAACATAGTGGTCTTTCCGACCAAACTCGAAGCGCAATTAGATTCCATCTTCACTAATCTTGCTCGGTTGTTTTCCATACAAAAATGTGTCCCACTCGGTAATTCCAATCATTGTATCGTAAAAGTGTCTCCCGCCGTCTATGGTAAGACTCACTGCGCTTCATTGGCTACTAAGCCTTTCAAAACTGTGAGGCGACGAGACTGTTCACCATCAAATATTGCGAGACTCCAGGAAATGCTGACTTATACTGCAGTTTTGCAGTTTGCACCAACGAAGATCTGTCCATTCAGTGTGGTCATTTCACCGATTATCTTAATTTCTGCTTCGATCTTTGCTGTCCAGTCGAAACCATCTACTTACAAGTCGATAGATTCTCCATACCATCACTCAAACAACTTAGAAGGAAAAAAGAACAATTCTACAAATGTAAAATGACTGCCCGTGTCAAACAACTCTTTCTAGCAATAAAATCTGAGATTCTACAGCTGAACAATTTATATAGCGAAGTCGTTTTGTGCAACCACAACTAGCGAGACCTATGGAGACTTTTGAAGCAGCGATGCGGTAAAAGCTGCAATATGCAGATTGGATCTGTGGATGTAGAGAAACTCAATTTTGAGTTCGATTCTTCTTCTTATTCTTCTTCACATGTAGCATTTACAATTCTTTCATTCTCTTTGGCTCCGGTCCAAAAATTATGTTCCAAGACGTTGAAGTCAACCGTGAACTCAGGAATCTGAACTCAAGGAAGGCTAGTGGACCCGATGCCCTTTCACCAGTTGTCTTGAAAGGGTGTGCAAATACCCTCATCATGCCCGTAACAGATCATTTTAATCGGTGCGTACACGGTGGAATTATTCACGATATTTGAAGTCCTGTCAGGATAACGGCGGTGTCAAAGAAGGGATCCATGAAATCCCGTCCGATCGCCTGTACATCCATCATGCTGGAAGTCCTCCGAGTAATTGTGCCTTGGATTTCAACAAGCACTCCCGTTTGCGTACATACCCAGACGTTCCACGTTGGATGCTGTAGCATATTTTGTTCACTCTATAGCATCTTCATTGGATGAGAAATGCAAAAATGTGAGGATCCTATTTCTTGATTACGCCAACGCTTTTGGCAGTGTCGACAGATCAACGTTGCTTAATCAGCTGCCTGAGAATGCTGTGCAACCAGGAGTGCACAACCTGATAAACAACTACTTCGTAAACCGGTCTAATTTTACCCAGCCAAACGGTAAAAAGTTCCGCACTCCTAGCAATGACTGAGGAGTCTTACAAGAGGCAGTCCTCTCCTCTGTATTTTACCTCTAAACATCGAAATGCTTCCAATTTCTCTCAACTTGACTGGATATAACTACGCTGACGATGTAGTCCAACTGCTGAATCATCAACAACTCTGCAATCCGGTCTGGACAAGCTTCGTCCCGATCGCTTATTCCCAATGCTTCCAAATGCTGTGACGTAACTTTCTCTTTTCTCCGCACTGACAAACGTCTAAGTGTTGCAAACACTTCTCCACCCCCACCCCCCAATGATCGTAAGCGACCACAAAATACCCAACTCATCCGCTGGTGTATATTTGTCTCACAATCTGTCTTGGTCAATACAGTTGACGAAACGTTCCGTAAGGTGCGGAAATTATCATTTTATGTCTTGAGACTCAAAATAGTTTCAGTACCCTGCTGTATAATTTACAAACTTGTGACTGCCTGTATGCTTCCCCATTGGTCAGATTGCTCGCTTATGGTTTGCCTGGTCTTCTACAGAAAGACTTCACATTGACTGTGTGTTCCATTACGCTCACTTCCAAGTGTAGTGGATTGCCCAGAGTCTCAGATTGACTTCATGGTTACTAAGCACTTTGGTGCATGTAAAAAATTTTCAGCGAATGCTTTAGACGACCCTTTTCACCGCTATTTTACGCTAATTTATCTAAAACCCTCTCCTGTTCAGCTAATCGCTTTAAATTTAGGGTTTTGTTTCCTCGCACAACATGCTATCACAACTTTAGCTTATTGTATTTATCCCGTTTTCTTGTGGACTCCAAGAAACTTATCCGTACGACGAGTACCACGCATACTTGAGTGATGTGCATGCATGTTTTCTTATTTTTACGCTTTTATTGCAAGTTCACACTAATATTATGCCTCATGACACCCGCAGTGCTAGTGTAAAAATAATGATAATGTACCCAGTCTGGTTTGCAAAGCATATTTTGACTTGAGCACAAGAATTCTCATCTCAGTTCTCTTCAACATAAATGACCCGCCAGTGAACACTGACAGATTATCAAAGATGAGTTACATGTATACTATGGCCTCATTGGTGTAAGACTCAACTGCTAATCAAGTGCTTCACACGTCAGCACCCTCAATGTGAAAGAAACTGATGTATGAATGCGTCGGCGAATCACGAATTCTCACTAGCACCAAATAATCACTTGAGGTTGCTCAAGACTTTAGTTACCAAAGTAGCCGTAGCACTTTCAAGGTATAAACAATCGGAAAGATCAACATGTGGATCAGTAAAACCCGTGTGGCTGTTTAAAGTGTAGGTCACTCTAGAGATGACGGGTTACAAGCACGCTGGTCAACAGTAGAGTGCACAATGTAGCGAATCGACCAGTGTTACTGTGTATCGCAGAGACATAAAAGTCTGGAAAATATTAAGAGAATGGTTTACTTGATCACAGCCGCTTATAGCTGGTGAGACAGGAGATATCTGGCAGTGGAATACGTGGTGCCTTTGCATCGGCTGCTGAATTTTAAGCGCATGCGATAGCCAAACCGTCTTTCGCGCGTTCACCGCGAATATTGATTGCCGAAAGTTCATTTGAGTTGGTGAAACTCAGAGGCGGTAAATTGATGACACCTTTAAAGGGCGTGAAGGTAGCGGTGAAGTCTGGCTAATGTTTGTTTCCCTATTGGACTGGGACCTCAGGATGGACAACAATATTTGGTCGAAATTATGTCGGTGCAGAGTAAACTGGGAAGTTAGTAGATGTCTTGCAGTGGCCAGAGTATTCATGATTTGGTTACACAATGTAACGACAATAATGGGTTTCCTCTCTATTCCCTTTGGATTGGTAATTTTGCTTTCTTTTCTCCCATATCGGCAACGCAAGTGCACTAGATTCCTCGCATTTTGTTGCACAAACACCGAAGGTACTACATGATGTCCGGTCTATGTAGGACGAAGCTCGGGACCGACCATTTGCCAAGACACACCCTACATTGACAGTCAGAACAAAGTATATCCCAGTGGGAGGAAAAAACCTGTGCGACTATTGGGGTGACTTTACAAGATGCGATCCACCGGACAGGCGAAATAACTGCGAGAATTCAAGTACGTACTGGAGTACGGTTTCAGAGACTGATGAAGGATCGTTGCAATTAAGTACAGTGACTGAAAACTAGATCAAAGTATTCCCTCAATTACAACAAAGAATGTGAAATGTTTCGAAATAAGACTCCTTTCAAAAACCTGATGCGCTTAGTACAGCAATTTGTGTGTTCAAAATTTTTTGAATCACCAAAGGAGGATTCGGCGCCAAACACTAAGTTCAGGCTCGAGTATTTTGACAAGGAACGAGAAGAGGATTAGCAAGTGAATTTACTGTAAAAAATGTCGAATGCAGAATCCAAAAGAAACGAATAAACTAACTGTGAAGTGAGTTATTGCGAATATCTTACATCTCTCCCTGAGAAATGAGTCAGGGGACTGGGACAATAGCTCATCAGAAAAGTGGTGCCGGGACCCAGGAGTTCGCGTTCTATCGGAAGTACGCCGAATATCTGGAAACCGGACCATGGATGGTGAGCGACCGAGAGGACTATTCGGATCCCGGAGGAAGGGGCGTCCGTGGGAAGAAAGATCCCACTCTTTCAGACAACTGGATCCAAGTAGATCGGGGTCGCGGTGCTGAGGCAGGTATTCTTCATCTGATGACTGCAGTTTAACAGGGGCCTCTGGTATGGAAGGTGAACCGCGAGCAGATTCATCGCGACTGAATATGGTAGAATTACTGTAGTGAGAGCGGGCCAGAAAATAATCTTTCAATTGAGACATGCATTCGTGCGAGGGCATTGAAGGGGAGATAGACTCTGGTGATGGGTTCTTCTGATTAGCCAGTGATCGGGAAGACCGACATCGCTGACTCATGGATGAAAACGACCTAGGGTCATCTTCCTCAGACACGTCATCCAGCTCCAAGTGAACACCACGCCAAACAACCTGATTGGTGGAAGACTGTCTTTCGCCTCCATGAACGGCATCCAGTGAAGCAGGTCGCGGTTCCACAAATCCACTCGACGTTAGGCAGGCCTCATTGTCTTCAAGAATTGGGCTTCCCGAGTGAGATGATTCTGGAGAAAAAAAGATGAGAAAATGGAAACACGGGTAGCAAAATGATTGCACGATGGGACAGTAACAATTGAGAAATTCATATGCAAGCATAACAAGATACATCTCAGTTGGTGGTAAACTGCTGACCTGGTAGAATAGCTGAAGTCAAAATCTACCGCACTCTGTCTAGCGGAGCAATGAACAGTCAACTCAGTTGGATTGTGCCTTGCACCGTTGAGGAATAAACGTTTATTTATGTACGGAGGCACAGAGGAAGACAGTTTGCATTTAGAACACGGAATTATATTGTCATGTACACGATGAAAATGTGCTTAGTTTAACGACTGCAATTTTCGTAATGGTCTTCGCCATAGAAATCATTATGAGCATTTAGTTGTGGCTTCTAGGACGACTACCATGCAAAGGCGAACAAAATTGCGCATGAAACTCATACATGTGGTGGAGAGTTTTGGATTGTAGTGAGCGAGCTATGATGAGCGAGATATGATCACTTAATGCCTAGAAGGATTCCATATTCTCTAAAGGCCAGGCGGCGCGATGTTAAGTTCTGCACGACAAGGCTGATCGGTTGCAATTTATGTCACCGGTAAGAGGCATTATTGATGTATTTCCGGGAGTTTAGCGAAAGAAGAGGGATGTCAGGCGAAATCGTACTTAAGGAGTATTGATCTATGCAATTCGAAACAGTGAAAAGATACGGGATCGATACCGGTTGCTCGTTAGCACTAAACAACAGTGGGGAGCACTTGGCAGTACATCTAAATTTGTATGATATGATTGGGCTGGACATTGTGGCGAGTGCAAATCTCAGACATAAATGCTTAGAAGAGAATCACAGAATTCGGTGAGCTTAGAACCTGAGTTGCCTAAACTGAGAATTCAACGGACACGAAGATTCTATGTATACGGTTAGACGATGTAGAAAACACGCACATACTGCAGGAAGGTAGAGAGAAAAGGTGTCAAATATCGAGTGCTATCGCAGTGTAGTGACGCTGCAAAACAGGTGGATTAAGAGGGACAAGAAGATGAGCTCAAAGATGCGTAGAAGCAAAAAAAACTAGAGCCGTCGCATGCAGTTCGGTTCAGTTTAGTTCATCAAGCAACATGCGTGGGCCGAGGTGCGGCGAATTAAGTCGCCATGACCAACTTTGAAAGAAGTATTATTATCATGTCGTAAAACAAACGAAAATAAGGGAACCGATGCCAGAGCGCTACTGACCTTACGATTGTGTCATATCTTAAAAACGGCAGATTCCGAAATCGCCATACAAGAGGACGAAAGCACCAATCGCACTCAGCCTTTCGGTAAGCTTATTGAAGCTTTTCTGTCACGTTGCTGGTTGACCACCCATCCAAGTGGCTTCCACCCAACCAAACGCAGCATTGGCAACCAGCGCACGCCGAGGTAGCTGGTTAGCTGCACGTATGTCACATGACCAAGCCACTGGCAGTCACCAGAAAGCCGGTTAGCCAACAACAGATGACAAAGTTCAACGTTGCTCGCCCGGTCCTCCTACCAGGCATGAAAAACATTTAGCAGGCTACGGTCGTTAAGGGAGGTCAGTGGCCTAACGCACTTAAAGTGCAGCGGTCAGGTCCCCTGCTCTACCGTAAACTTATCCCTCACAAGTAGGCCTACATTCCACTGCATTCACAACTCACGGAGGCATTGTAAATCCATAGGATAATCGGCAAGCCGTGGGGCGAAATTCTCGATTACTCGGCAATCAAAATACCAACACGATCAAACACGTCGTATGATTGTTATGTGATTTGAAGACTGGTGAAGTATCGGCTCAGTCACAAAGTTTCTGTGCCGTTAAAGTCGGCCCCCTTCAGAGACAAACGGTTTATTAGTGAAAATAAAGCAGGGGAGAAATACCGTATGTCTTGCCTGTACAGCGTTTCCATGTGAATTTCCAGACCAGCAACATTGGCAACGCAGTTTTTCCACCGAGTGATTTCGCTTTTAATCCATTGAACAACCATCGGCAACAATCATGCAGACAACCAAGGTTGATGCGGCCGATCGCCGAGGCAAAACCAGGTACCTCGTAGCTGATTTGTCTGCTCCATCTAATACACTACCCTCATCACATACTAAGCACATGGCGAAGTGTGTAGCATAACACGACAGGTTGTATAGTAGCAGGGTCCGACCCGAAGATAAATATGTCGTCCGCATAATCAAAGTCTGACAGTTGGTCACCACGAAGAAACTATACTCCGAAGAAGTGGAAGACAGACGGAATGGGACCTTAAATGATTATTTCCATTATGAAGGAAAAAAGTGATAAAGGAAATCTGATGTAGTCCACTTCTAGTAGCGAACGCAAAGGACAACTTCTTGTAGATGATAACGCAGTCGTGCGAGCCATGATACGTAAAGTAGAACAAAAAGAAAGTTTTCTGATACGACCTCCGCATACAGGGAAAGACGCAGATGCAACAACGGAAACACGTCTTGAAATCAGGGATGCATGTAAGCGGCAGGAATTGCAGCACTAGGCAAGAAGATGCGGTCAGTGAACCCACTACCAGGGCGGAAGCCAGAATAGAATTAACTGCTTTGGTTTGCATGGAGAAAGGTGACGAACGGCAACATGCCAGAGGGCAGCAGTGAAAAAGAAGTGTCAAAATAACTGACACACCAGTGGTTTTCACAGGTCAGATGGTCTTAAAAATAAATACGAATAACGACCGACAAATCGAGATTAGAGAAAAAGTCATCCTAGGCAAAAAACCAAAACAGACTAAGACAATCACCATAGGGACGTTAAATAAATTAAGCAAAACGAATGCAGACTTGTTGAGCCACGATAACAGCGCGATGTACATATGATCATACAACAGCAGAACACAAGAACGGCGAGAAAATCAAATACGGTTTGAAAAAAGTGAGAGGATAGAGCGAAAAACAGTTATCTGACATCATGCAAAGAGGATCGGGAGCCGAAAACTAAACAAAAGTCATGATGCAAGGAAAAGAAGACAAAACGTAACGTCAACACAGAGGAAAAAGTGTGGGAGCTGCACAAACAAGCACACAACGACGACAACCGCAATCCGAAATAATTGAGAGTGCAGTGTTGGATAACATGCTGCCAGTGCTCACGTAATCTGAGCAAGGCCTTGATTGTACCCGCGATCATGTAGCGCATTGTGGTAGCACACCGTGATGACACAAGTGCGAAAGAATGCGCATCCAGTTAGACTACAGGAGCCAGGCAAAGGACCAGGCAAAAGGGAACAAAAAAGTAAATCCCAGCATCAACATGAACAGCTGTTGTATATCGCTACTCCATACTGGTTCCTAGTTCCAAAACAAACACAATCACAGTAGCACTGAAAAAGACTAATGTTGAAAAAGGAACATCTGGGGTAAGTGATGAACACGACATGGTCCGCTATAGGCAGACCCATACTACACAATACAGAAGATACCGAAAACAGTGCAGCGAATAGTATCCTAAGGGCTATATGGCAAATTTGCTTGTGTAGATGTACAACGTAAATAAGCGAACTGACGCTTGTCACGTTTTCGACAACCCGGAGCTAAACATACTTTGTATCGATTGGATCAACAGGTTAGACTTGTGGGTTGCTCCTCACTAATCTGTGTGCGATTCACCCGGAGAAGGTTTATCAGGTTTCAACACGTCACCAAAATGCTACGCAGCGCAGAAATCTGCAATCACCAAGGAGATGCAGCGGCGATTCCCAGGTGTTCAACCCCACAATTGGCTGTTGAACAAAATCCACATCATCTCTTTACTTAAAGGATGGCGCAAAACATGTTTACCGACCAAAAAAGAGGTGTCGTAAGCTTCGCCTAAGTTAGTTGACGACGAATGACATCGCTAGGACCAATCAAGTGATATCCAGAGTGGAATACGCAAAGTGGGAAGCGCTCATAGTTAGAGTGGAAAAAGAAAACAGAACTATCCTTATGTGGAGATTTTTCAATCAGTCTGAACGCAGCACAGAATCTCCATCAATACCCGCTGTCACTACCGAAGATCCTTTCCCCAGACTCAACGGCAGTTAAGGTTATTCAAAGATTGATCACTCGGACACCCATCTCCAAGTGGTAGCCTACGATGACGTACGCGTTTTCTTACAGTTAACACAACGTAGCCTGTATCAGCGCAATCGGCTACCAATCGGAACGAACGCCACCCCGGATCTTCTTCAACAACTGATGGATAAAAGCTGGCATATATACCGTCGGCTTATACATACTTCCAAGACATCATCGTCGCATCACCAGACAGAACCCAGCATAGCTACCATCTCTTCCAAGTATTCGAATGCCCAGGGAAAGATGGTTTGACTCTGAGAGCTCATTTGTTTATGTCTCAACTCAAATACCTCATTTTTATTATCGATCCTGACGGAGGAAGACCCGATGTTGAAAAATGCGCGGCATGGAAGTAATAACTGCACCACACAACATACCTAATTTGCAATCGTTTCTAGACATGATGAGTTATCACAGTGCATTTATTCCTGATATGCATACGCTTCGCTGGCCAATGAATGAGTTGCTGGGTAAAAATCGTCCCTTGTCTTGGTCATTACAATGTGAGGAAGCGTCTAGTAGGTACATTAAGAAAGCGCTTGTACCTGAATGAATGCTGGTGCATTATGACCCAAAAGCACTTATTATTGTCTCCGCAAATACCTCTAGTTTCGGCGATAGAACGATTCTTCGTCACGCAATCCGATTCCAACACCATGAGGATGGTTGCCTACACATCATGTGCCTTAACGAAGTCTGAAAGAAATTACTCACAGATCAAGAAACAGGCACTACCTTAATATGTTGCTGTCAAAAAGGTTCACTGCATGTTGCAAGCTAGAGAATTTCTATTGAAGACTGATCATAAACCATCAGTAGACATTTTCGGTCAAAAAAGTGCATGCCAATCGTCTCCAATTTTGGGCGATACTGTTGCTCGGATATAATTTTATCATGGCTCATGTGACCGCGGCG